AAAAATGTTAATTGTCTGTAAGGTGAGGGAACTCAAGGGCTGTGAAATGTCTGTAGACTGACTGTCTGAGGAAGTGTTAAGTGTCTGTTAAGAGAGAGGAACTGTAAATAAGCTGTCCGTAAAAGGTAAGGGAATAAGATCAGTGCTGTCCTGGGCGAGACGAGGTCGGCTGAGGGAGATTCAGTACGTTATGTTGTCAGCGCTGCGGCGTAGGGCGAGGGCGTGTATGAGTATTGGGTTTTTTCTGATATACCTCTGAAAGGCCTTTGAGGACCATCGGCCTGCGGCTTGTATAAGGTGAGGTGCAAGTCCGGCCTCTGCCAAGAAGGTTGCGCCTCCCGCTCTCATAGACTGGCCTGCAATGTTCTCAGGGAAGAAAGAGCGTAGTTTGCTCATGAAAAAAGCTCTGGTGGGTGGAGTACCGCGTTCTGTCAACCAAAGTTCTCTGCGCAGCGGGAATAATTCTTTTCTTCGGGCAAGATAGGTCGAGAAAGAGCGGTGGGGATCTGTTGGGTGTGCTGTCTTCTTCACGACTATCCTGTTGCCCTCGAAAAATGCGTCGGTCTTGTGAGCTGGTAGTTTGAAGGCAAAGAAGTCGTCGTGTACTTCTACTGATAAGATGTTTGGAAGTTTCCTATCGTCCTTGAGCCTGACATCGTCCGGCTCGGCGAGTTCCCCCAGCCTGAGTAGTGCGTAGAAACCTGTGAGCAACATTGCGGCGAAGAGAATGTCGTTGTAATTGCTGGTGGGCGAGATGTCTTCTATCACGGTCCTCAAGTGTTCCCGTGTCAGTGGTAGCTTTCTGTTTGTGTTCTTGGATTTCAATCGAAGACATCCGGAGAGGGTGTTCTTCACGAGGGTCGAGTTTCGGACCGCTCGCACTTCAGGGAAGTATGTTTCAAGTTGATTGCAAATTCCGGAGAGGTAAGTTCTGACTGAGCGTGGTTCAATGTGATGGCTCATATATACAATATAGAAAGAAAGTGAGTCCTCAGTCGGTCGAGTCTCCATGTCATGGCGACTGACGAAGTCTAGGTAGGAGTTAAGGGCGGAGCCATAGGAGAGGTAAGTGCTTGAGTCAATTGACGCACCCAATGCGAGTGACCGTTCTCGAACGAGTCTTTCGCGTGACCAGGCAGGGCGTCGCGGCTGCCTGGATTTGACGGGGGAATAGATCATTTTCTTGACGCCCCCAGCGCAAATTGAGGGGGTTCAAATGGTTCGATGGTCAGCGCGGGGACCAATCTTCGAGCTTCTTCAAAGCGGCGTCGGGACAAGAGGTCGGCGATTTCATTTGTTTCGCCAGGTATATACCGGACTTTAAGTTTGTGGCCTCCTGTTAACATAATGTCGACGCTGTGTCGTAGAAGAGGGTTGTACAGGGGTAGTGCATGTAGCGTGTTGAAAATATTTACTGTGTTCGAGTTATCGGAGTAGATCATGACTTTTAGGGGTTGGGTTGCGCAAGTCGTAGCTTTCTCAAAAGCAGAGACGACTGCGAGGGCCTCGAGGTAAAAGATCAAGTCTTTGGGGACATCAGCAGGAGCAGGTGCAAAGAAACCGCAGCTATCGTGGGGTTGCCAAAATCCAAGGCCAGTAAGGCATGCATCAGATTCGAATGTTATATCGGCATCGGCTTCGTCCCAGGCTCGCGATTCGAGAAGGTGTGTGCCACTCAGGTTCTCAATGTGATTTGCTCCCCAATGTAAGTCGGATTTGATGGCGTTATTTGACCAAATTCTGGCGTGGGGGTAGTCTCCGACACTGTTGATTTTTGCATAAACGTTTGACAGGCATGGGGCAATGAGGGGGAAGACATTGAGGCCCCAGTTTACCCAGCCTGCGAGCCTTTGCCAGGCTCTCTTTGTGAAGTACCTTGACTTTCCGCGGGGTGATTCTGCAAATCGGCGCATCTCAGCCACCAGTTCTGATTTCGCGCCATCTTCAAGGGTCATGGTCATCGCATTGGGGTCGACTTGGATGCCGATGATCGTGAGCGGGGTGCCGTGGACTTGTTTCCGCCTCTTGTGAGGGATGCCTAGCTCATCCCACAGGCACAGTAACTTGACCTGGTTGGAAGGCAAGGACTCACTATAGGGTTCATACCAGGTGTTGTCTCCTTCATCATTGACTCCAAAAGAGTCGTCGTTGAAGACGAAAGGCGAGTGGACATCGCAAATGTGTTTTGCTATCCAGGTAACGAGGCAGTTCACGGAGCCCCAACAATTGAGGGATGCTCTGCCACCAAAGCAGTTGCACCTGTCGACATGTCGTTGCCCATCGATGGTCACAATCTGCTTGAGCTGCCATAGTTTGTGCATGGGAATGAGGCGGTACGCTTCTGCTACGTCCGATTTCCAGAGCGTCAGTGGTCGGTCCGAGAACTCCCCAATGCGCAAGAGCAACTCGCCCAAGTGCTTCATATTGTCGAGGGGGAAGCCTGCGATGAGGCTGTGGGGGACCATAGAGTTCAGTGAATATTCGCCTGCAGAGAGGTCCGTCACTAGCCGAAAGTCGTCAGTGTGAGGTTTCGGGACTGCATAGATAGGTGAGCTTGTCATAGAAGGTAAGAGCTCTGTACCAAACGAGGAGGAGAAACGGCCTTTCGCTATTTCTATATCTCTCTGTGCACGCAAGAAATCTGCCTCAGCAGTGATCTCCGGCGTGGCTGAGGCCATGTCGCATATAGTTGGGTATCTGTCTGGATAAGTATTGGCATACGGCCAGAAACCCTCTGTAAGGCTTCTGATAACTGACGCAACGAAGTCTTTGTTGGGATGATCCTTCAAAAGTGCTGCGAACCGGTCTACTTTAATCGGGGTCACAATCTTGAAAGCATCAGGCAACAGTTCTAACGTGTGCAGTGAGTGGGGATTTGAAGATTCGTTGAGAGGTGGGGAGGGCAGTGGTGGCGCAGTCAAGGACCAGTCTGCAGTAGTTGGTGTGGGCAGGGCATCTTTGTGATAATAGTTGTAACGGAGGTATTTTGGTTTGTCGTCCTTGATAGCTTCAAACCTTGCTAACTTCCGAGCATTCGTGCTTAGGATGGGTGCCGCCGCATGATCTGCATGCGTGTTTCCAGTAACAGGTAGTGGCTTCGAAAGGGCAGCCTTTGGCTGTGTTGAAGCGTTTGCAGATCGTTGATTTCCCTCTCGGGGTGTTTGCCGATCGGATTGATGCGGTTCCGGAGTTCTTTTTGCTTCCGTAGTACACGCCGTCGACGTCGAGGATTGAGTATTTGAGGTCAGCGAACTCATGGTAATCGGTAAGCAAGATTCTGGTTCCTCCACCCACTCTTGTCCGGACTGCCTTATCATAGGCGATGACTTTCCCGTGGGCTGACTCTTGCTTTGCAGCAAAGAGATTGAGGATATTGTTGATGTGGGACTGGAATTCGGAGTCTCGATCAGGGAAAGCGAATCGAAGGGCTTTGGAGTAAATATTTGCTGCGATAAGCCACTGTCCACTCGTCTCGACTTTTCTAATTGGAGAGCTGTAGCCAAAGACGAGCTCACGATGGCCGAGACGCCCTCGATTCTCCCGAGGAGCTCCCAAATGTCCGACCGAACTGTAGATAGAATCGAAACAGGCCTCTTCTCCTCTGAGCAGCTTGTCCCACTCGGAAGGGGGGAAATCTGACGGGGCTGTCTCAGAGGTGAGGATTCTTCTCTTGATTTCACTTGCGTTTCGCATGTAGAGTTGAAGGAGTTTGCGGTTGCTATCGTGTCGAGGGTCTCCAGCCTCTCGAGCAAGCTTCTCTTTGGAGTACCAGGGGAGCTTACTGTCGTCAAATCGTCTCCTCTTGTGCCGAGGGGACTCATCCTCGCTAAGAGAACTGGAGGAGAGTTGATCTCCCTCATCTGGACACTCTCCGTCTCTGTCTCCCTTACGCTGAAGTTCTCTCTCGACAGATTTGACATAGTGGTCTGTGACTCTGTCGACGGATCTAGGTGACAAAGACCTGCGTTCTGCATTGGTCGGTTGCTCTTGCCTCGAATCCGCTCCCTCAATGTCAGCCGACTGCTGCCTCTCTCGCGACGCGAGGGCCTGAGCTTCACTGCTCCCGCTCGGGGGGTCTCCGGCGGAAGCGTTCCTTTGAACCTCTTCCCTCCGGGTTCCTCTCCTTTGTTGCACTTTCGCTTTTCGCTCGATGTCGTCCAGCAGGGAGAGGTAGCTGTTAATGGTATCCTGCAGTGCGTCAGGCGGGACTCTAGATCGGTTGGCTGCGTTGACAATGGCAGTGGTGACAACGGGCTTGGACTTCTTGCCTCGTCTGAAGGACTCGACATGTTCCTCGAGCTGTTTGATAATATCTCTTTCTGCTCCAGACGGAGTAATAGGGGCAGACTCTCTCGGAGAGGTTTGGGTCCGAGCGGACTCCTCCCGGCTACTGGGCTCTCCTGAAGTGTGCTGGGTGGAGGAGTCCCCAGAAGAGGTCGCTGCCTGGGGAGGTTGCTCTCCATGAGGACTCATATAAGTTGGCGCAAAGAGTACGATGAATGCTAGTTCAAGATGTAGACAGATTAAAATAATCAATAATTCGTTCGCTCCGATCTAAGTGACGTCGTTCGTCAGAGAAAGTTCTCTCTGACAAGTATTCTCAGCTCACCTAGAGAGAGGTCGTTCGGGTGAAAGTTCTCTACTGAACCAGTTTCACCTACGCCCCCTCTCCAGGTAGTATGCACGTGATCGTCGCGACCTCAGGGCCTTACATTGGCTGCGCGAAAACTCACATTTTAACTTAAAAAGGGCCCCGCCACCGCGGTTCACGTGATTGGAAACGCGAAAACGTGCCAATAACGTCGAGCATAGATCATGAAATGAATGATAAGGCTTTGAGAGTCATGCCACTTAAGTGGACATGAACACCTAAGGATCATCTCATCTATTCGCACCCTCAAAGGGATTTTGCGCTTCAGACTCCTGCTTCAAAGACTTTCTTTCCTCCAGACACTAATTAGATCATGATATGAGAGCGGAAGTACTCATAGCTATAACAAGGGGGTATAGCTCAATTGGGAGAGCAGTAGACTGAAGCATATTTCCTATCTAAAGGTCCCGCGTTCGATCCGCGGTACCCCCATTTTTGAACAAGCTGAATCCATTTTCTGCAGCTTTCGCAGTCACGCGATTCCTTGGTTATTGTTGAAGAATAAACACTGAGCGTCGGGCTGCCTACAGTATTCCAGAGGAGGAGCTTACTTCTTACGTACGTCACACATTGTGTTGCCTTGCTGGCCTCGCTTGTTATGTGGGGGCATAGCTCAGTTGGGAGAGCAGCAGACTGAAGTGCATCTTTCTGAAGGTCCCGCGTTCAATCCGCGGTGCCCCCATTATCCTGGAGCCGGTATTTTTTCTATCGTGCATCAATGAATTCAACCATCATCGGTCGTGAACTAGTCCTGTCTACTCCCAAAACCTCTCGTCAAGAGCACAAGATCGGGCCATCTCGAGCTGACAGCCAAGAATCAATAACCTCAAGAACGACAAAAAGCAACACAAACAGACCTGTTCGTCAGTCCTACAAACCAAGACTCGCTTTTCCCTCTCGCCCTTACCTTCACCCTTGTGTCCGATATCAACAACCACGCCCTGCCCCAATTCCGCATTCTTCGCAGGATCGACCTTGGCATATCCAAGACACCGGGCCCTCGCAGCAACGACTTCCCTGAGTTCCTTACTCCTCTCCCCAATGCCACCCGAGAACACGAGTGCATCAACGGCAGCACCAAGCTTCAAGTGATACGCACCCACAAAATCCAACACCCTATCCACAAACAAATCAAACGCAGGCGTCCACTTGTCCGTGCTGTCCTCGCCATTCACTTCCACCTTCCCATTGACCTTCGCATCCGTGCCCACACGTATCCTCGCCCTCTTGACATGGCACCAGAGCGTGTGGCGCCGGGGAGACCGCTGAGTGGCGTGAGCCCCATGGAGGTATCGAGGGACTGTCCGGCTTTGATCGCGCAGGTGGAGGCGCCAGAGCTGAGGTGGAGGACTACGAGGTTGAGCGAGGTAGGTGGTCGCTCGAGGAACTGCGCGACGGAGCAGAGGATGAATGAGTCTGTGTGGCGTCAGCGAGGTAGATACATGAGGGCGGTGGGGCGCATACAGCTGAGGCCGTGGAAGCCGTACTTCCTGAGGCCGCGTTTGGAGGCGATGCACTGGTCAATGGCGTAGGACGCGATGTGGTGGGGTATGGTGGTGTGGAAGGCCGAGTCAAAGTACGCTATGCTCTTGGCATTGGGCATTTTTTTGAGACATGCTTTGATGACGGCGAGAGCAGCACCATTTGCAAGGTCAGAAAGGGCGGCGATGCGGTCATATGCAGCATGGTCAATGACAACAGGGGCTGCGTAGTCGCCGCCATGGACGACGCGGTGGCAGATGCGGTTTGTGAGAGATTGTCTAGACGGGTGAGAAAGTGGGCAAAAGCAGATGTATGGTCGGCGATTGTTTCGGCTGGCAGAGACTCGGCGACACCGTTGAAACAGAACTGTGCGGGTAGGGCAGTGATGTTGGAGATGCTGCAGGTGAGGACGAGGTCTACGGGGTCAGCGAGGCGGAAGAGAGAAATCTTGAGGGACGAGGTGCCAGCGTTGGCGGCGAGTATCAGCGACATGGGGTTGCATCGATAAACATTGTATGTAGAGCCGTCCTTGATGAAACATCATTTCAGAGTGACACGATGTCACTCAGTGGATGCAATGTCCGTGAAAGGCACAGAGCAGCACTATCAGACGAGGATACGCTCCAATGTAAGACACAACCGGCATTGTAGAAGACCATTCACGGTCAGAATGTAAATCGCACGTCGACTTCGAGTCAGAGAGTCTATTTAGTACCAGTCCTAGGCCGCATTGCCGGTGGTAACTCATTGATTTCTATGATAGACTGCATAAACTTACAAGGTACCAGAGCGCTAGCGTCATGACGTCATTCGATAGATCTGCCCTCCCCGAAGCCTGATCCGGGCTTAACTTGCTCGACATCCCTACTACTCAACTTCCCCTCTTTGCCTTCCTGCTGGCGGGTGTACTCTTCTCCCCGAAGCCTCAACATCTCCTCCACCAATGCCACATTCCGGCTGTTTGACTTGTACACCGCAACCACCACGTCTCCGATAAAGGGCACACATCCCACCGCCGCGCTCACAATATTGTTCAGATGCATCTGCTGCAAGAGCCACGGCGGTAGATCTGCCTGCTTCGCCTTGCGGATCACAAGGTAATAGTTCAGCCATGCGTTGACTATGTCCCCAATCACTGGAATGAGTCCGATGAGGAACGTCCATCCAAATTGGAGCCCGCAGATGTGGAACCCCTTGTCCATGTAATGTGCGCGCCGTTTCAATGACTGTAGTATCTTGGCGTCTCGCGGCGAGAGACCTGGTGGCAATGGACGCTGTTCTGCCTCAGCGAGTGTATAATAATAGGAGAATCGTATTCCGTACCTTTTTCCGCTTCTGCTTGCCTTTCGAATCGGTGTAAAATTCGTACAGCGGGTCTTGTGGCGCATATTGCTCCAGATGCTTTTCAAAAACCCTCTTTACGGCCTTTGAGAGTAGGACAGTCATGGTCTGAGGTGCTGAGGGCCTCGAGCTTGGCTTTTTTTCCAAAGATAAACAAGAGCAGTTGTTGGTGACATCATCCAGCACTGGAGACGAACGTGCTCGATCATCGTCTCCTTTCGAATTCTGAAACAAAAAATGAATAGGAGGAATCCAATGGGTCGACTTTGGACAAGCGGTCATTATGCACCCCACATCGCCACATGATGTCCTTGACGCGATCATTGTTGTCCCTTTTCACTACTCTTTTCAGAGACAAATGCATTGAAAGTATCGTAGTTAAAACACTCAAAACGGTCTGTGAACAACAAAACCTCTTGAACGCCTGTACCAAGGCACTGCCAGGAATCGAACCTGGGTTTCGAGAAGTCCGACACGATCAGAATCTCGAGTGATAACCGCTACACTACAGCGCCTTGACGTCTCAATACGTCGCGAGTACTATCAAACTAAGCGCAACGTCAGGCCTGAAATGCCTAGAGTCTTGTCGTTCATTCAATCCCGCCACCACTCGCGCTCAATACATATTACTCTCTTATGTCACCCGGGATCAAGGCACAAAACGTCACTTTGTCAATTTGACGGTCCAGTCGATCCGTCGGCCTATTCAAAAGTCGCCGACAATCACAGCTCCTTGGGGCACCAGGGGGTACCTTGTGGTCTCTGTCAAGCCAGTTCCTCAGGGCCTCTGGCTATCAATATAGGAATTGACTACTGGAGTTGCAGAGTTGTATGAACCACAAAGTAACAATCTTGCAAACCTAAAACCTAAGGATTTGCATAGCGCAGGGAAAAAATGAGTTTTTGAACTCACGAAGGAATCTGGATTTTGTATAGGCCCAAATGCATAGTGCAGAGCTATATATGCACCTCAAAATTCATCAAAAAGGCACCGAAAAAAAGGATCGAGACCTCGAGGTCTCGGCGTAATGTTCCCCCCCCCTCCCCCCTCTCCCTTTCTTAATTTTCTGGAGGGAAGCTTAGGAGTATCTCGGATGGCGAGCTCAGTCACTGATCCTGCTTTTATCAGGTTATTCGCTCTCATTTTATTTTTTTCTGACTAATGCTCAATACCGTTAAGATTTTATTACTTTACAAAAAAGTAGATGGACGTGCCTTGCAGCCATTACCGGCGCTGCCAATACGACAATGTTTTCCTCAGTACAGGGTTTCCAATTTTCTCTTTATGAAGAAGGCGCGCTGTTAGGATTTCAAAAATGTGGATAGACGTGCCTTGCAGCGTTACCCGGCGCTGACAAAACGACAATGTTTGCATTGGTACAGGATTCCCAATTTTCTCTTTCTGAGGAAGGCTCACTACCGTTAGAATTTATCAGTTTGCAAAAATGCGGATAGACGTGCTTTGCAGCCGTTACCCGGTGCTGACAAGACGACAATGTGTTTTCGTCGGTACGATATTGTACCTATGGGCCGGGGATGTGAGTGACATCCAGCCTCGAGGTCTCGACTAGCGTTTCCTTCTTAATTTCTGGTCATGAGGGAAGTTTAGGAGTGGCGATGGCGGCCTTGTTCACTGATCCCGTTTTCATCAAGTTTTTCAGGGTTCCTATTTTTCTTTCTGCAGAAGGCTCACTACGGTCAGAATTCATTGGCTTGAAGCAACGCGGATAGACGTGCTATGTGGTGCAACTCGCGGCCGTTACCCGGTGCTGAACCAAAGACAATGTTTTCGCCGGTACGGTACCCACTCGTGTTGCACCCATGGGCTGGGGATGCGAGTTTCTGACTTCGAATAAGAGAATTTGAAGTATGCAGTATTAATGGCTTGAAAGCGGATGTAGACGACGCCAAAGGCAGCATCGTCAAGGCCAGTGATAAGACGAGAGAACGTCGAAAAAACACGCTCGCACACTGATAACAATGTCTAGTCACACGATCATTAAGGTTTGTAAAAGTTGGCAGACTGTGTCGCCTTTACGCACAGCAGACACCGGCTAATTGCTTCCATGCTTACCAGTATACTGGTTCCTGGGCCTCCTCCAACAGTCGTCGATGGCCATCCTGCCAACTTATAGTATACTATGGAGCCTGCGGCGAACATGTGGGTACCTTATCCCCGTAACATGTCCATTCGTAAATGATATTGCTGTAGAAATCTTCCATTTCTACTGCCATCTATCCGTGTATATTGTCGTCTGACTCATCAAACAACTCACAGCGCTGTCTAATCTGTACGCAGCAAGCAGGAGTTGCTGTGGTATGTACTTTTTCATAAGTTGATCTATTATTCTTTGACGTGGACATCACATAGAACAAACGTTGCTTTATGCCTATACAGTTGGGGTCCGTATCTGCAACGAGGCCACCGTACCTCCTCACACGAATATGACATATTAACATGTTGGCGTCGGGCGACTTTATGATTATTAAGGGTTTATCGAGATTTAAGTGCTGTGGACAGTGTCTAGAGCCAATCGCCATAGCCGTCCATCTGATAGGCAGTATCAACCGTATAACCTGATAAGTGGGCTGATCTCGCAGATAACGGCATACTTTGACCACCGAAACAGGTAGGTCTCGGGGGCACAACTCTGCGAGATGCTTTCCCACTGTCAATTTCCTCTCATTGCAGTGTATTGGGGGTGTGTAACACGGAGCGAGGATGAATTCGAAGTCAAAGTCCTAGTGAAAGTCTTCGATGTGTTTCCCCTCCCTCCCACACAGACAGAGACAGACAGGTGAGCAGGCCTATTTTTATCTTCATCAGTCGTGTGATCTAACTCCTTTTGGTCTCTCTCA